TTTTTTTTGGTGCCAGCAGCTGGGAAATGCAGTCAGTGAGTTACCTGAACTTCTGTAATTATATATTACAGAAGGAGGGTATTGTGACTTTCTTCATATTAATCACAATTAGAAATGGATTTCTTTATCCGTTTGTTAAACTAACTTTCTAGATCTTTTGTTACTGAAGTCCATTTTACACTTTGCAGCATTATATACCATGTATATATCTGGAGATGTAATTTTGTTTATAAAACATAGCCAAGGTACTTTGGTACCGTTTTGCCACTGCTAACCAGCAGCAGCAGACTGCTGGTTTAGACTGTTTTTTAAAAAGATTTATTATGGGCAGTTCATCTCTGAGGAAAACAAATGAGGATAAGATTTTAGTGTGAGTTGTCTCGTGAGTATTAACGTGGGCGGAACATCCAATGCTGTTTTGCCCAGAGTGGTGAGGAAAGAGCATCTTCTAGAGCACGTCCTGCGGAAGCAAAAGCATGGCTGAAGTTAACGTTGCAACTGTTCCATTAGAATCCAGCTATAATACTGGAAATTCGGAAAACTTTTGTGAGAAAATAAGTAATTAAAAATACCACGTTCCATGTAATCTTTACATCCCTGACACATTTGTCCTGTTGTCAGATCTGAACTTACCCCTTATTTTGTCTGGTTAAGTAATATAAGGGTGAATATTAGTATTTTCTTGTATGGCTGACTAAAGTAAGGAAGAGACTCTGAGGAAACAATGTTGGGAATTACCAAATTGTGCTGGAGGACTCTCCCTCTCTTTGAGTGCAGTCTCTGCTAGAGTGCCTTTTTACAGGTAGAGGTATAATTGGTTTGTTTCAAAATATGTTGTATCTGCATTTTTAAATACGTTGTGTGCCAGTTCCTATAATGCCACTGCTTTTCTGAACTGAATTGCATGGTGCTGAGAGTAAGGTCTGGGACGCTCCGTTGTGTCATGATTGCTTTACAGTGTTAGATCAGGCCTTCCGTGGAAAATGGAATATGCTAAGATGTACTGTTTTAACTCATTTATTTAGTGCATGGAATTTATGAATGATTTTTCAAACCCAGATGCAAAACTTGTGGCCTTCCTCTTTCGAATGCAGAGCTGACGGGTAATAGTGGGGTGCTGATGTATTATTATATGCTTGTCAATCAGCTTTTGGTGGAGGAGATTGGGGGTTTTGTGTGTGGAATAAAATAACGTTTCAGAAACTGATCCATAACACCCAGACTTTCCCACAGATTGAGAAGCCAGACTGGATGCATACTGTTATAGAAGCTGTTACTTCTTAAAATTGCATAGGACAGAACCATAATAGCTCAACTTTCTAATCCAGTTCTGCTGTTGGTAACTGGAAAGGTTGTGTATCCTCTGCAGGGATGGCATTGCTTCTGGAGAGAGGCATAATAATTAACTTCCTCGGCTTATTAACTGAAATACCTGAGTTCTTCTATTCTCCAGTTACAGAACTGCTGATTTTGGCCCATAATTGCTTTAGTTTGACTTGCCACATGGAAGGAATCACTAGAGTCCTCCAAGCAGCGCGGCTTCTCACAGACGAACATCTGGCACCTAACGAAGAGTACGGACTCTTGGTATGTGTCCTCGATGCCATATGTGTTTATCCGGACGCCGTACAAAGGTTTCCACGTACACGGTAGCAAATAACGCTGCTCGTGAGCGGCGCAGGGGAGCGGTGGCTGGTGGAATGGAGCCGTCTTTCACCTCTGGGTGACTGGTCTTGTCCCGCCTGTCCCGAGAAGGTAGAAGCGAGCGTTTGGTCTGATGTGCGCGGGTGATGATTTGATGTCACAGAAGCCCTTAGAAGACTTCTCTGGAAAAATAGAGGTGGAGACAGTGGAATGGTGAGGTGGCAGCAGTGTAGTAAATCAGAATGGGAATGTCAAAGTAATTCAGCTACTGGTGAAACGTGATGATGTGCGTTACGGGGCTGTCGCGCATCTTGAAGTCCTGCCTTGAAAGGGCTCCTGGAGCCTGAGACATGCCCAGTCTAATGCTGTCATTGCTAAAAGGTTCTCTGCATATTTGTATTTGGGAAAATTACGTCCTTTCAGCTCACAGTTAAAAAGATGCGGCAGGTTGGTGTAAAAAGAAAACCTCCGCGGCTCCAAGGGAACATGTGCCGGCCTGGTGCAGCTCATGGTGCCGTGTAGCTGCATCAGCTAGCGCAGCTCCCCAGCCTCGCGCAGCCTCCCCCCTGCCGTGGCATGCGCTGCTTTGAGAGAGGGGATTTTTCTGCTTCACTTTGAGCTTCGTGCTTACGCTGTTATTTCCACAGGTTCGTCTTCTCACTGGAATTGGCAGATACAATGAAATGACCTACATATTTGAACTGCTGCATGAGAAACACTACTTTGAAGTGCTCATGAGGAAGAAATTAGACCCGGTAGGTGGAGGGGGATAAAGGAGAGAAAACTTTCAGAGAACTGTGTGGTTACATCAGAAACTGATATTTACACAACAAGATGGAATTATCTGGGTATTTTAATTACTGGAGTGTAGGAAGTGTTATTCAAGTTCATAGTAATAAATTAATTCTGGGTTTTATCCTGGTTTTAGTTTAACAAGTTTGTTCTAATCAGTTCAGCGCTGCAACGAGAGCAGCATTGAAACTTCAAGCTTGGGAATATCACTTTGAGTTTTCATGTCCTGCTTTGCTTTTACTTCCAGTTAATGTTTCATGGGTTTTTAAAAATCATAAATATTTCTAGCTTTCTTGTAACATAAATAAAGTCATAAACGAATGTCAGTTTTGACGTTTGTATGTAAATAAATAAATGCGTAGGTGCTGGATTTTCTTACCTGACGTAATGGAGTTAAGCCCAAGTATAATGTTGCCATTATGTTTTAAAATAGTATGGAGAAACCTCGAAGAGTGTAACGATCGCTTTTTGGAAAATTGTACGAGAACGGTTTTGCTTGTGGGTACCAAAATGTGAATAAAAAAAACCCTCTTCAAATCTTAATCTCCTATTCCTTCATCTGACCAGAGCGGGACATTGAAGACGGCTCTGCTGGATTACATCAAGCGTTGTCGCCCAGGGGACAGTGAAAAGCACAACATGATCGCCCTCTGCTTCAGTATGTGTCGAGAAATTGGAGAGAATCATGAGGCTGCGGCTTGCATACAGCTCAAACTCATTGAATCTCAACCGTGGGGTGAGTGGAAACTGCAAAACCAAGACAGACAAGTTTGTTTAAGAAGGGAGACATGACGGGTAAACGTAGTTTTAATTGCCTGTGTTGTCCTGGTAACATCCATTAAACTTCCACTGTCTGGAAGGAGAGTCCTGTTTGCCAGGCTTGGGGTATTCTTGTACCTAACAGTTTATCAGGCTGCTCCGGTGTTTTTCAAAGAGTTGAGATTTTTGGCTTTTACTGAAATGTAATGTTCCTGTGGTACCACGCGTGGGAGGAGGTAAGGACACGTGCGTGTTTTCCTGACTTTAATAGGATGTGACACAGCGTATTTTTACATAAAGTGTATATATAAAGTGTTGGGGGGGTTATGTTTGTGACTTGTTAACATCTGAGCTTAGTGAGTTCTGTACAGCTGGGAGAGTGCTGGGGAGCACACAGAGATCTCGCTGCGGAGCTGTTAGCCAGCATCGCAACAGCAACTAAACCAGAAGCTATGCCAAATGGTTTTCTGAATTTATCTGCTGACAGTCAGTGCTCGTATCTACCACAAATGTAGGATTTGGATTTCTCTTCAGCTCTTCAGTCACCTGACTAGGTTCCAGCAGTAGCTTTGGTCCATTAACTGAACAGGTGTCACTGTTTCTTCGTGCTTTTTTAATACGGAATTTTTTTTTAGTCTTTTGTTGCTGTCTGAAGCAACACTAGGGACAGACTGGGTACCAGGAGGTATTTTTTAACTTACTTTGTCACCTTTATAAATAATCAGTTATTAATTTTTTTTTCCCCATTTCAGAGGAGTCTCTTCAGGATGTTGCAAATCTGAAGAAACTGCTGATGAAAGCTCTGACTCTCTTTATTGATGCAGCAGAAAGTTATTCTAAGGTAAAATGAGACGGAATTGTGTGACTTCTGTACAGCATTGGGAGCACGTGAGGAGTGAGCTGAACTGGGAGAACAAAGCAAGCTGCTCTAGGGAGGGTGTGCAGAATCCTGTCCCAGGATCTTTTCTACAAAGGGCAAAGGAATCTCTTGCTCTGTCGGCTCAGCGGTATCCCAGCAGTCTCAACGCTGTGGTATCCAAGAGCAGTGCGCTGTTCCCCGTTCAGGCTTTAACGTCGAGGGTTACAATTAGGTTCCCCGGTTTTAGAGGAGTGACCATGAGCTTAACGAGCAAGAATAGAACGACACAAGAGCGTTTAAAAACTGGCGTGATTATGCTGAAAGTAGTATTTGTGGTGAGTGAAGCTTCATTTAAAACCAATGGGATATGTTCAATGATAAAACTGCAGTGATCGAAAAGATGAAATACTGGACAACTCTGAACTCGCCGTTGCTCTCGGGAATATTTATTGCTTTCCTCTAGAAACACGCTTCAGAAGCTTGCACTTGTCTTTGATTTATTAAATAGGACTCCTGCATCCGCCAGTCCTTGCGCTGCAGTCGGCTAACAAAGCTGATAACCCTCCAGCTGCATTTTCTCAACGCTGGTCAGAGCACTATGCTGATCAACCTGAACAGACAGAACCTGATGGACTGCATCATGTCCTTGCCTAGATTCTATCAGGTAAGCTGGGCTTCCTCACCTGTCGGTTTTTCTGAAAATGGTTGTTTTAAACAGCAGGCACTGAAGCACTCCGCTCCTGTGAGCATAATGCTCAGCTCTTCCACGTGGCACCGAGTCCCGTGCCTGTGATCCCGTGGTGTTGCCGCAGCTCCGGGTGCGGACCGATGCCTTTAGCAGCCGTCCCTGGCTTGCTGCCGTCGTACGGCTGGGGCCCTGGCTCTGCAGCGGCTCTCCTGCTGCTGTGCATCTGCACGAGAGCCCTGAAATCTGATCGGCGTTGGCATCCACCATTCTGTAAACTTGGAAATAAGAAAGGAAAGGGCTTTTTAAAGAGGACAAACCACCCCCCTCTGACATCTTCCTTAGCAGTTAAGGAAAATTATTTGCAGTATTTTGTTACCCTTAAATTCCTCTGTAATACAGCTGCTCTCAAGAACAGCATCAAGAGAAGGGCCAAAGAGAAGACCTAGAATTTTTTAAGCACAGGGATGTTTCTCTGCAAGAATAAACTCTTCCTGCTCAGTAACTCCAGCATCTGTTCTCCCCGCAGGCAGCTATTGTGGCGGAGGCTTACGAGTTTGTTCCAGACTGGGCTGAAGTTCTGTATCGACAAGTGATCGCCAAGGGAGACTTCACTTACTTGGAAGAATTTAAACAACAAAGACCCCTGAAGCCTAGCATATTTGAGGAGATTGCTAAGAAGTAAGTAGCGCTCTGGTCAAATCGCAGCTTCCTTTTCCACAGGCTGCTTTAGAGGAGCGACTGTGTGTTTAAGAGCATGCAAGTCAGTACTGTTAAACCTTTCATGTGATAAAGTGTGTTAAAACCTTTCATGTGATAAAGTGTAGTGCATAGGGACTTGAGATTCATGTTCAGTTTCTTAAGTGTATTGTGGAAATAACACTGGATCTACCATTTCCGTTGAGCTGGATAAACAGGGTGCCTTACGGCCGGTCAGATCAAATCTTTTTTAAAATGCATCAGAGCAAAATAAAAAAACAAGAGAATGCAACATATGTGTTGCACACAACCTCTTTTTAAGAAATACAGTTCTTACAGTTCTATAGGAAGACAGCCTTATAATCGTTGTCTGTGAAGCCTTTCTATTTCAATTATACATACAATTATTTTCAGAGTTAAACACCACCCACCTACTGATGCTGCTCTGAAAAACCTGAAGAAATTGCTCACTTACTGTGAAGATATCTACACATACTACAGACTGGCTTACGATAACAAGTTCTACGACGTGGTAAATACGCTTCTGAAGGATGCACAGACTGGCTGTTGTCTAAACGATATGTTAGCAAACTAGAATCCAACCTCCGTGACGTAGAGACTGGCTCTGACACGTACCAGTGCCACAGCTTCTTGCATGGTTAGTACTCATTCCTTAACGGGTATTTTATCGATTCCCTGCTTACAATGATATGCTGCTATGTGAAAGTTACTCCAGAAAAGCAATGGTGGTTGTAAATATTTAAAGTGCTGAGACTGTGTTAAACCCAAAATTGTGTTTTGTATAATAAATCCTACTGTTTACAAAATACTCGACTAACCAGCAACTACAGACTGGCACAGCTGGTAACGAACACAGCGATCCAGCAGTCCTTCGGACTCGGGGTGCGGGCGATGGATCACCGTAGGAATTGTATCTCAACCAACAAAAGGCTGAAATAGAATGTGCAGAACGTCCAATACACGGACAATGAAATAAGCAAGAGAAAGTTTTAGATAACACGCTAGGATAATCTGTTCTTTGATTCCAGTCTGATTAGCCTGGGTTTGGTTTTCTAGCTTAGCGATAAAGTGGGAGTCTTGTACACCTCTAAACAGCATAGACTTAATTTGCTTCTGTCTTGGAGTAAAAGTAGTAATCAAGTACAAATGCATTCTGACAGTTATTAAATTTAAACTCCTTTCCACGCTTGGGCAGACGGCTGGTATGGACAACCCATCAGGGGCCAGCAACTGGAGTGCTCCGCCACGGCAACATTTTGGCAAGTTTACAAGGCCGGGTCTGATTTAATTGGGGAGGGGGATAAGACTTGGACGCTGCTTCAGGCAGAGAGTTTCAGCTTGGCTGCTGTGTGCTCTGCAGCCTGCGGAGCTTCCAGCTGCCAGTTACCTCCTGGCCAAAAAAGGAGACAGCTGACTCTAGTGTACAGACAGCTTTTAAGTAAAATTAAGCAATGATATCGTACTATCTGTAAACATTATCCTAGCAAAAATACAACTGCCATAGCAGCCCAGTTAGTTAATTAGCAAAGAGATGCTAACTTGGGTTTATAGCTTACAGTCTCCTCGTTGCTGAGCATTCTCGTGCTAGCAACCGCTGCATATGACAACTACTTACTTGCACAGTATTTAGCTCACAGCTGCAATGGCAGTGCTAGAAGTCATACGCAGGTATACCCAGTACAAGTCACAGCTCCTCTGATAAAGAAAAATTTCTGTAGGGAGGATTACACCTGAGCAGAAACAGATTTAAAATTCCAGTTCTAGTCAGCCTCATAATTAGACGGAGCTGGCTGCCATTAGTCTAAGTCAAGTAATGGCTAGCAAGCTTTTAACTTGAACTTTAAAATTCCTGGCATGAAAGAACCTTGAGCTATCCTCCTGAGAATTACCATCCCCGATCCTTTAAAAATTTGGGACCACTAACAACAGGAAGGAGCAGGAAGAACGCCTGCCCTGTGGAAGCACACACGTATCCCGTCCATATTGGGAGCAAACACCTGAGTAAACGGCAAGCTGGAAATGGAGGACTGCTTGTGGTAACCGCAGCTGCCAGGTGGAATAAAGTAACTGCTTGCACTGGGGAGGGCCACCCTAAAATACTGCTAAGGTAAGTACAAGCCACTGAGCTCAGCAGGTCCAACAATAGAAAAGATTAAGTTTGTCATGGAAATGCTTGGATTATTATTATTACAAATACTGCAAAGTATTCTGCTGGCCATCAGCATCTGTAGGGCTCTCCTCACAGAAGCAGCCATTTGACAGGAATGGAATCGTGCCCCTCTCGCGGCAAAGCCCAGAGCGAGTAACCCAGCCCAGCGCACGGCTGTTCTGTAACTCCACCCCACAAGTATTTTTACTGTAAGGTACTAAAAGAACTGGTCCAAAGACAGCTGTAGTGAAGTCCTCAATAGTGATTTTTATTAAATTAGTTGCTTTATAAAACATTGCAGATGTCATAATTGTTAACATAACAATTCGCCCAACTGTAGTAACTGTTGCAGTTTGCTAAGCAAGTTTGTTTTTTTTTTTAAATGAAAGAAAATGGCCGAGTCATGAAAGATCTACCACAACCCATGAGACCAAAAGGAAGTCTTGTGGTTTGGGTTTTTTTTTCTTTTTTTTTCTTTTTTTTTTTTTTTTTTTTTACACTTAAACCAGGTAATTAACTGTTAAAGAATACCCAACCCATACAGCTGCATTAGTAGAAATTTAGATGAATGGAAACTAAACTTCATACTCAAGACACAAGTCATTTTTTTCAAATAAGCAACTCTTTCCTTGTCCTGACCCACCCGGTGTTCTCTGCTGAGGTTGAGCGTTGACATGGTGGGTATCTCGAGTGATGCGTTCCCCGGTGCAGCATCCTCACTCTGGAGTTAGCGGTTCCCCTTCACAATATACTGAAAAAAAACCTCAAGCTCTAACTTAAGACAAAGCAATTGTAATACTAAGTGCACACCATGCCCTTGCTGCAAACTGCTTTTGTTCATCAACCAAGTCGTTCAGGGAGGTACAGTTAAGGCCATGTCACTGAACTGTGCTGGTAATAATACTTTGCCGTGTTGAAATTCATTTCCAATTTAGTGGCTGTTACTATACAACCAAATAGCAACAGTTACCATTATCAGAATTTGGGTGGTTTTTTTTTAAACTGCAATTTACATAGCTTTTAAATGTCTTCATCCTAACCCCCAACCACAGCACAGGAAGCCCGGTGCTTTAGCACGGACCCGGCCAGAGTTAAACCACCAGCACAGAGATACTGCAATTCTGATTGTAGCATTTGGCAGAATTTAAAGGAAGAAAAGTTGTGCTACATGTTTAAGGGATTATGGGCAACAGAAAGACAACAGAAGGGAGATAAATGTCACATGAAGTCTTCAAAGTCTTGTACGTATTCTCCGTCGTATCCTCCGTAATCAGCCAGGTCATCTTTCATCGTAGCCTTTAAACCGCCTCCAGGCACAACACCTTTTTTCTTCTTTTTGGCTTTATTCTGCTTAAATAGGAAGAGCACGCTGACTTTAAAATGCACAGTAATTTGTCATTACTCTAATTAGAGTAACACCACACGTCTTTGGGTATGAGCATTCACATAGCCCTGCGGCGAATGCGCTGTTGCCGTGATTTCTGCCCCTGCCTTTCATCCCACAGTGCAGCCTGGTCGTAGTAAAGCTGTGACATTTTCAGGTGTCCCGTGTTTTGTCTTTCAGCCTATTTTACCTAGACTCTAAACGTTTAAAGTGGAATAACTAAACTCAAAGTCTAGTGTTTAATTTTGTGAAATTGCCAATTTAATTAAGGAGTTTAGTGTGGCTTTTATCACTGTAGTGGCTGAATGTCTTCCTTGCAAAAAAATGGAGGTCCTAAACAAGCAAACAGGACGTTTCCAGTAAAGCTCTGCCTTACTGGATTGGTGTACTTGTAGCTTGCAGTGCTTGACCAAACTAATTTACTTGTTTGTAAATTAGTTTGGAGAGCCAGGAGAGAAGAGGCTAAAAATAGGAAGTATACATACTGTTTTCTTTTTAAACTTGTTTGGTTCAACAAGTCACAGGCTTCTCTCCAAAGCGCAGTTTATATTAAAGAAAAAGTTCATCCCGTTTGCCACACTGCAGACTTAATGCATTAACAGTGGTGCAGTAAGGCGCTTCCCTCAGGCCTAGGGCGTTCGAACGGAACAGCTGGTATCTAAGAGGTTCCCCCTTTACATTTACAGGTTACTACTTACGCTGACAGCGCTCTGCTGTTCGTTTCCTACCAATCCTCCAATATGATTTAAAACGTACCAAGAGTTGCACCGCTAGTTGTATTTTCTGCTTGATTTTGTTGCTATCTAACAATTCAATTAATCGTTGAACTCCAACCCACTGGAGTTTTAACAGACACATGCTCTAAAACACAATGTCCTGCATCGCGTAAGCGCCAGTTAAGCTACTGCATCATTTTGAAAACTTACTCTTCCTTGCCTATGCAGCTACTGCTCCTTTAGTTCGCATGACAGCATGAAAATCCCAGCTGTCTGCTACTCAAGACCCCAAACCTTGGCAAAGATTTAAGTTACTTCCCCAGGCTGGTGTATATTGACATTTGACTCCAAATGAGACTGGCTTCTGTCTTCAGGATATCGGCGTAAGCCATTTTAACTCCAGGACAGCGTAAGACGTATCAAGGTCAGCACGCAGGTAACATTTAGGTAATTAATCAAGGTTTTGCCTGTGATCTCTAGACTCAATCAACTCCTGATTACCTCACACAGTGAAGAGGCTTTAACGCTAAACCAGTATCCAAGGTTATCATCTAATCTCCCGCTACTACCTCTGACAAAAATCAGCAGTTCAAGTCAGCGCGAGACCTTTTCCCGTTTTCCAGATTAGCACCGTGAGCGGGTATTGTTACTGCTACAGAAACACGGAGCAGCCTTACCTTTTCTTGTTTTTGTTTTTCACTGCATAGTACTGTCAAAGTATTTGTGATCTTTTTCAAATCATCAATTTCCACTGCATCGGGGGAAGAAAGAAAAAAACAAAGATTCCGCATCAATATTGTTCTTAGAAGGCAGTTAAATAATCTAACATCAACGTTCTCTAAAAACTAGAAATAAGCATTAGTAGTAAGTACAGGCAATTACTTGATTTAAATGAGCAAAACACAGACTGGGCAGTTCTGGTCCCTAGAACCACAATGACTATTTCAGGTGGTCCCTAGTAAGCAGCTTGAACGTTGTAGAAGGTAAAACTTGCAAATTAAGAGTTGGTCAACACAAAAGCCTTAATGAGGAGGCATTTGAACAGTGAAGTACGGATACAGTAAAACGCATCAGAAGGAGCAGTGGATTAGCAATAAATTATTATTATTAACAACAAATGGTCCAAGAGGTTTTGAGTCCTTCACTTTAGAAGATCTGGAATCCATCTGAACTTTAAGTTACGAGCTCCCGTCAGCCAGCGACTGTGTTTACACAGCACTGAACAGTACCAAGCTACACTTCACTGCAGGACAACGTGTACAGTACAGGAAAAGATCTCGAGCAATGAATTCACCCAGTACTTCAGCCTAACACAGCCATGGAAAAAAATGAGCTGAAGTTAGTTTCGTCTCTGTATAGTTACATGTTGAATTCCAGAACACTATTTTGCAGTCCCAGAATGACATGAACTCAATTTTGTAATGGTTTCCTTCCAAGTGAGCTACTCAAGTTATCTGGCTCAGAGAATTTTTTTACCACTATTATTATTTTAGAAATGGCTTCAAGAAAAACATGCAAGATTTAGATCAGCGTAAGAATTCACACTTTTTAAGATGACTGTCTTTAACTGACACACAGAAAGGGTAACTTTTGCACAAGCACACAATCTAAGAAAGTTTGTGGGAATGGAATCGGATACTAGCCGGTGAAACAGGTTAGTACTTCATTTAGTATAAACTCCATAGATAATGTCAATTTAAGGTTTACTGTAACAGCGTGTTTTTGACTTCAACTCCATTGCAATTCTGGTAGCAGTGTATTCTAGGACATCTTTCACTTAACTTACATGAAATACATACGTCTCGAACTAACGCTTCCAAAAAACTGGCGTAATGTAACGATTTTTCATACTGTGTAATTTTCTCTTTTAGTAGTTTGCCAAATTCCGTAAAGTCATCTTTTGAAGAGGGATTCATGGCATCTATTCCACAAGTGTTATTTACACCTGCACAGAAAGACAAAGGTATTACAGAAAACACGAGCTGTGATCCCTAAAAGAGGCCACCGGAGGAAACGAGTAACCTTGTTCACATTCAGTTCCTCACCTCCACCGAAGCTTTACAAAACCAAAGCTGAGGTTTGCTCACTCGCTTCCCACTGCCTTCTGCCACACAAAAGCTAACAGCCCGAGTTACTAGCCTGAACGGAAAGAGATTTTGCTGCAAAGCTTCGAAATCTGAACCAGCTATTCCTGTTTTCTGGAGCAATGTGCACTACATGAAGCCCCTTTCCCCTTAAATAAGGAATTCCTGTCTTGAGCTCCCGAGTGCAAAATTTAGTTGGTTCTTTGCAGCTGTATTCAATGCACCCCCCAAGGCACTGTACTCTTTCAGAAGACTCGCAGAGCAGAATTTTCACCAAGTAATAAGCTGTGTAATTCACTATAATCATGGAAACACGCTTTCATGTTTGAAAAATGCTGCTATGAATCAGTATCCGTGCTAGTTCTGTCAAAGCACAAAACCAGAATGATCTGCTTTAAGTCTACTTCATCTGTGCCGGGAAACAAGCTCATGCCACTAACGTACCTGGCTTTCTCAACATCTAGCCTATTACGTAGATTGCCTGGAGCAAAGCGTGCGTGAGTTACGCTGTGCCACGCTCGTCCAAAGCCTCGTTAAACCCGTGTTGTAAAGCACCTCAGAACATTAAGAGACAGCACCTTTTTCTTCCTTTTTACCAGAAGTACCAATATGTTGGAAAGTTTAGTCAGCCATCTTTTTCCTATACCCTCCTACCATGACACGTTAAGCAAAAGCACCGCCTATTCTCAAGATGTTTTTGTGGTTCTTGCAATCAGTCCTTCGTACCAGGACGTGCCTCCAGCAGTTTGAATCTAAACCCCTCTTTATCCTCGTTAACGCAACCTGCGCGTGCTGCAGCAGTCAAATCCTCCTCAGGCCTTTTTGCAGGGCACCCACACATAGCAGTTTTATTTAGAGGATACGGCGCTTTTGTGATGCGACCATTACACCGACTCGCTCGACTCGGGCACGGCACACTTACCAAATGTTTCTTTTGCTAACTCAAGGTCTGACTCCTCTTGTAATTTCTTTAGTCGTAGTTTGTCTGCTAACTGTTCTTCTGGTGTAAGTTCTTTATGCTCCTCTGGTGCCTCTAGCTGAATTAAAAAAATGTATTTAGGGAGAACATTATATTTCTCACCCTTGAGCACAGGTGGTAGAAGAAATCACAGTTTTTCCAGTGCCACTTGAATAGTTTACTTCTGCCTGAAGTCAATACACCTCAAGCATGTACACACCTGAAAGCCACCCCAATGCAGTGTAACGATGCCACCTTCTTTAGTAAATTGTCCATTTTACAAGTAGTAGGAAGAAATGCCTTAGAACTAAGTTTCACGACTGCATGTTTTATCGTGAGGTGCATACAAAAGAAACAGCGATAAGCATTATTTCAATAACCAGGTTAAATCACAGAAAAATTAAAGCTAACATCCCCCAGATGTTACTAAGTACAAGCCTTAAGTTTTTTTTATCAGAATAGTCAAAATCTTTACAGGTCTTGTTCAACCTCAAAAAAAAAAAAAAAAAAAAAAAAAGAAAAAAAATCAAAGCTGCCCTCTAAATTTTGAGACCCGGAAGAAAAAAGGAGTTACCCTTTTTTTAAGCTCCTCTTGCTTTTTCTTCTGTAGCTTCTCTTTTTCTTTTATTTTTTCTGCTATTTTCTTTTTTTCTGAAACTTTTGGTTCTGTAAAACATCAAACAATACAGCGCTCGAGGTCTACTGATTTTTTTTTTTTTTTCCTAGCAACTCTAGAAACATTAATCAAAGAGAAAGCCACAGAGCTCAATTACTGGAATCTGAACACAGAGCGAGGTAAAAGACGTGCTTGGTCAAAACCAAACCCGACCCTATTTGCAAAGTGGTTTTGATTCTTCAGATTCGCTCAAGACAAAACGAGCGTCTGTTCTGCTGCTGCGTCCAGAGCCGTGCATTCCTTTTAAGTCTTACCTTGTTTTATCTCTGTCTCCTTTACTTCTTCCTCTTCCTCCTCATCATCCCAGTTATCCTACAAAATAAGTTTTAATTGAGATTCTTTTACAGATACTCACTACTCGTTTAGGTAGCAAAGGTCAGTAGCTTACATGTAACCTCTTTAAACGCTGACATACCCATTAACCTTACGTACTGGAGTGAGGAAGCGGGGAGGAAGTCGCGAGCGCTGTACGACGAGGGCACCGCTTTTGGGAGTTGACCAAGACTTTTCAGGACCAGCTCTTGCCACGAAAAAGGCAGCTTTCATTCAAAGAATCAGAAAGCTCACGTCCGTACAGTTACAAAAGCAAGATCGTGAACAGTCCAATCAACACCCACAGTAAAACATGAGTTTATTACGTAATTTCTTGTACTACACATTGCAAGATACCGGAACGTCACGGGATGCATGCACGTAGTACGGCCGCC